CTGGGTCAAGTTCCAGATGCCACCCCACTCTGGCAGATGCTAATGATACAGGTTCAGTCTGAAGATAGACTATGAATCCTCTCTCCCTCCTTTCTCTGCAGTCTCCATCCCTCAGTTCTGTGTCCCCCTCGCCCTCCACAGTGAAATGTAATGAGTGGCTTTGTAGCCATGGTTACTGTCACCACCACCTGCTGCACCAAGGTTCTGGTCCAGGTGTTTTCCTGAGAACTGTGGGGCCAGCTGGCAAGATAGTCACAGTTTCACCTCCTGACATCTAACAGAACAGAATCCAAAAACATTTTCAATGGCTTAGATGTTGGGAACAGAATTGAACTGGGAAAAATAACCTACTAGTTAAAAATGAAATTATAACAAACACTCAGAAGGGCCTGGAGAGCAGGGCATGAAATTCTCCCAAAAGTGCCAGTAGCTTAGACTAAAAGGGGAGTGAGTATGCACCTTCTCAATGTAACCCTGGGCCCGTTCCTTCAGGCCTCGTGGTGTGGTGAGGCCTCCTGGGTTCTCAGCTCTAGCCAGCAAAGGTTCCTGGAGGGACTGGAGGCCCAGTCACTGAGATGGAGACCAAACTCACCAACATGAACCTTCTGGGGACAAGCCACCATTCAGCCCACAGTGAAATGTAATGAGTGGCTTTGTAGCCATGGTTACTGTCACCACCACCTGCTGCACCAAGGTTCTGGTCCAGGTGTTTTCCTGAGAACTGTGGGGCCAGCTGGCAAGATAGTCACAGTTTCACCTCCTGACATCTAACAGAACAGAATCCAAAAACATTTTCAATGGCTTAGATGTTGGGAACAGAATTGAACTGGGAAAAATAACCTACTAGTTAAAAATGAAATTATAACAAACACTCAGAAGGGCCTGGAGAGCAGGGCATGAAATTCTCCCAAAAGTGCCAGTAGCTTAGACTAAAAGGGGAGTGAGTATGCACCTTCTCAATGTAACCCTGGGCCCGTTCCTTCAGGCCTCGTGGTGTGGTGAGGCCTCCTGGGTTCTCAGCTCTAGCCAGCAAAGGTTCCTGGAGGGACTGGAGGCCCAGTCACTGAGATGGAGACCAAACTCCCCAACATGAACCTTGGGGAAAAAAGCCACTATCCAGACCTAAGATTATGCAGTAAGTGAGGAGAGAAGGCAGGCAGGAATGGCCAGAGCACTGGCTGGGAGTCCGCACTGCGACTTCCAGTTTCTCCCCAGCTGGCAAGCTTAGCCCACCAGGCCCTCTGGAACCTCGCTCTAGAAAGGAATGTGAATCTCCACTGTCTGGAAGGGAAGCAGTCAGAAAGGCTGTGCGGGCGCTGGAAACACTAGAAGACGCAACCATGGTTATGGGGCGGAAGCTCACAGGCCCAGCACCACTGCTGACCAGGAACACTGTGCTCGGCGCAGTGTCAGGGAGTTTTCGGGCCCCTCCCAGGGTGAGCTTGGCCGAGGCCACACAGCTGCCTCCTGGCAGAGCTGCTTAGTAACTCCCCCCTCCCTCCCAACTGGGAGAGCACTCTGGAATCATGGGCATGCCAGGAAGGGCAGGTGTCCTGAATAGCAAGTACATGTTGTAGGAACCCAGGGCGTGCTTGCTAATTTGGGAGCTGCTTGAACAGAAACGCTAGGGTTCTGAAATTCAATCAGATAAGCAAGTAGAGAAAAGGCAGCTTGGAGCTACTCACAATTGAGTCAAATTCTGCCCACCTTCTTTTCCCTAACCTCCCTCGCTTCACTTCCCACTGTGCCATTTTCACCATCAGTGACACATGTGTGTTCAGGCTGTTGCTTGTTCCTCTCACAACGTCCTGAGGTCAGCGGGCCTGACTTGCGAGGAAGATGGAGTTTCTGTTCAGAACTGAACAAAGGAAGGCGTGAATAAGTGAGTAAAGGGCATGGCCGGGAGGTGGGTGCATCCACAGACTAATGGACACATGACTGGATGACTGTGTGTCACCTCCCCTCCTCCACGCAGCTCGCAGTGGAAAGCTCGCACTGAGACATGGCTGCTAAGGACATTCTTTTCAGTGGAACGCCCTCTCTGTGCCTTAGACCGTGCCCTTTGAGAATAGGAGCACTAATAATCCTTACCTTGAAAGCTAATTTTTTTTAAAAAATGATTTCTTCCATGAGGGAGAAGACAGCATGAGACAGCACCCCCAACTAAATCCTGATACCACAACCCACCCTCACCTCCAGCTCCAGACTATAGGCTCCGACGAGTCTGCCTGTGCACACCAACCAGCACGGCCCTCACGCAGAACAAGGTCCCTACACCACCCTCACGTACACACGTGCTTAGTTTTCCCGAGAGGAAAGGAGATAGAGGAGTGTTTGGTAGTGCCTGCTCATGTCACAGTCCTCCCAGGGAGCTGGGACCACAGGTGCACACCACCCGCCGGCCTGCTGAGGTTGGCTCAGGAAGTGAACCCAGCCTCCCAAGCCACCTCAGCCAATGAGCAGCAGTACCCTCCTGCTTGATCCACCGTGGCTGGGCCCACACGCTCTTACTCAGGCCTGAGAAGTCTGGAAACGTGACCATTTCCTGGCTGCTGCCTGTGTTAAAAGATTGATAGATTCTTCTAATATTGCCTTTAGGGTCGTTTCTTGATAAAATATGACTAGACATTTCCAACAGTAATAACTGGCCCATACTTTTTCCACTCTCATAAATGCCACCTCGGGCCTCTCGATAGCAGGCTTTCATCTTGCCTCCCTGCTTGTGACAGGTATTGATATGTCCTTAGAGTCTTGGTCTGGAATAAGCTGCAGCCGAGGTGAGTCCCAGGGCATTTTGGTTCAGGAAAGGCCATGGTGTGTGGCTGGGAGCCCTTCCTCCCTTCATTCCATGTGACCAGTCCTGAGACCCAGTGCCCGTTGCTTTTTGGCATCTCAGTTCCTCATCCTCCACCCTCGAGCTGAGGAATGGACTCCATGGGCAATGGAGGTGGGAATAGTGACAGTGGATCTGGTTTGGAAAATGTTGGGTTGGAGGCAGTTGGCACATTCAATTGTAAGGAAGCTGTGGAGTTAAGGGAGAGATTTCAACTGTAGATAAATACATTTAGGAAATTTCTATTTGGAGTGGGGTGAGGGCAGAATCTGCACTTGTACCTGTTGTGTTTTCCTAAAACTTCTGAGTAAAGGTCTGTGTCTTTTAATTTATTTTTTTAAAGAATTATTTATTAGGCTGTCGGAAAAGTCATGACATATTTTTCTATGCCAAAATGTCATGACTTTTCCGTTGACCCAATAATTTTATTATTATTATTGTTATTATTTTAATTTGTTATAGGGTGTGTGCACTCATCAGGGAGAGAGAAAGTGAGAAAGCTAGTCACCAGATCAGAGACTCAAACCGCATGGGTCATGTGGGAGTCTAGCACCTCAACCCCCATGCCACCTGCTGGTCCCATGTCTTAATTTCTTTTATATTTTCCACAGTACATGTACCATTCTGAGCACACAGGCAGATGTGCACTGACTGCTCATTGAGCTAGCCGATCTCAAATGTAGCTAGCCTGCTACTTGCAATGAAAAAGAGTGAGGTGAGAAATAAAATTTTCTTATCTCGGGACCAGCAGTTAGTGCAATGGCTGTGTCACTGGATTCCCATGTAGTCGGCTGCAGTTCGCATCCCGGACCCGGTGGCTTAAAACTCACACCAGGCGCGTGTGTGTGAGTGCCCAGGATCCTGAGAGGAGAATGGAGGAGAAATGATTGCATCCTGGCCATCCTCCCTGGGGGGTGATTTCTCGCTTTCTGTCTCTCTGTCTCTCTCTGTCTGGCGAGCGCACACGCCCTATGGCAAAAACCTCTCAAAAAAAAATAAAAAAAAAAGAAATAAAATTTTCATCTTTATTGACAGACCTTTATGTACACATGTTGCATATACCTTAGTGTTATAAAGGTATGAAATGTTAACCAAAGACAATTTGACAAAATTAATATTGAAAGTATCATTTCTTAGTTTATCATATACCGAAACAGGCTTTTACCAATATTTTGGCTTACTTTTTCCTTACTATTCTCTTTTAATTTTGTATTTTAGGTAGTATTAATACATGATTATTATTACTTTATATCCTTTTCCTCTTAATATTATCTTAGGTATTTTAATTAGCCAAGGAACAGTCATTTGAGTGGACTCTTCATTGCTTATTTGTTTACTGTCTTTGTGCTGGAAGTCTATAGACAGTCCCCAGTGTGGCGTGATGGTTGGACGTTGGCTAGAGGGTGCAGTCCTGAGGAAGTCCCAGCTGCGTTCTCTCCTTTCTCCCTCTTCTGGGCCTTGCTATGACAAGGGGTCTAGAGGGTTTCATTGGCCCAGGGCTAGGAGAACACACGGTACAGCCCCCAGTTGTTGGTCAGGCCGGACATCTCAGTACCCTCCTACCCCCCCAACCAGGACTCTTCTTTTAGTTTAGAGGCAAAACAGGCTGGTGTGGCTAAAAGGAGACCTAGCTTCCCGTCCTGCCTCTGTCACTTCATTGCTGTGTGACTCTGGACATGCATTCTCACCTCTCTGATCGCCATTATTTCCTCAAGTAAGAGAATGACCAGTTACTTATGGACCCCTTCAGTTCTGCTCTTAAAACTCTTTGAATTGGGGCCAGCAAGTGGTATGGTAGTGAGGCAGGAAGAAAGCTGGAAAATGGAAGTGGGTAAGGAAGCTGTCTATGTGGCTAGCTAGAAAAAATGACCAGGGCAGAAAATTTCCAGCTTGTGGTAATGTAGGTGAGAGATTTTCAGTGGGGGATGTCTAGCTGATGGCCAATGAGTTGAATCAGTGGGCCCAGCCACATTCGATAGAGCTAATGAGAACCAGCCGCATTTGATATATAGCCAATGGGGTGAAAGCAATTAGTGGCCCAGCCTATGATCAGCCGGTTCAGGAATTATAAGCCCTATGGGAAGCTGTTACCAGGGCCTTGAACCACTCTTCCTCTTTCCGCGTGGGCTGAGTCTCCCTCTCGCAAGTGTACTTTCGCTTCTACTTATTGAAGTCTCCTTTACTTTCACTATTGGCGGGTTTTAGTCAATTCTCGTTCAAAACACCGAGAACTTGGATAATAGCCCTCCCGCAACATACATTGCAGCGATCCAGCCAAGAGGTAAACCCGTAAATGGGGACCCCGTCTACTCTGTTCCTTCTTTCTCATTTTCATCTTCATTTCTGTCGTGTCTCTCGGCCATAGCGGGCCAACCAAGACCGGAATAATATTCTTGGTATGGGCAACTTGCATGTAGGGCTAGAAACCGTGTTTAAGGGCGAGAGACTCCTCTTCTTTTTCTCTTTTTTTTTCTTCTTCAGCCACCAGATAGCCACATTTGCGTGGGGTGGGCATTTGAAAGCCATTAGAGTGCCCCAAATAAAAAGTCTCTCATGTCAGGATATCCTGGACGCTAGAATATTCCAGGCCAGGCAGAAGACAAGGTTGTGTATTGTGCGGGCTCATACTGAAATAAGCAAAACACAAGCCCCTTCCCCATGTCATTTCCTCTCACGTTTCAGACTGTGGGGATTTTTTCTTTTCTGCAAACCTTTTTTCTACTCCGTTGTGTCATAAAGTGCCATGTGATGGTCTGTCTTATAGCTTTCCTCTTTCTCCTGATCATGGTGCTTGTAGTCTGCTGCTTCAGCCTACTCCAATCTCGTAATGAAGACTCATCTCCTGTTGGAAGACTTGAACCTGTAAGTTGGGCATCAGCCCTTCTTTTTTCCTATTAATATTTAATAGAAGTACTATTGTTGCTAGGGAAACTCAACCCATGGTGGTCCCTCCCGGGATGTGAGGGTTCTCAGCTTTGCATGGCAAAGAATTCAAGAGTGAGCCATTGAGGGAGAGTGAAAGCAAGTTCACTGAAGTGTGGAGAACTGGCTGCCCCATGGTGGAGCGGCCATGTGAGGAGAGTGGATGAGCAGTTTCATTCCTTTCAAGGGAAGGAACTTCTGCCTGAAGGGAAAAGGGCAGTGGTGTTTCTGAAACCATTGTCCTCTCCCTATTTTCTGGCCTGATTACGGTAGGGTCTATCATTGCCATTATTGTTCTAAACTCTCATAGTGTAGATGGGATTGTCATCTAGAATGCTAACACCATAAAATGAGGGTATGATGAGTCTGAAGAATTCAGCAATCATTTCTGGTGCCATCTTGGGTCATTCTAGGCACCATCCTGTTCCACCTGGTTTAGACTCAGTCTCTCAACCACTTCTTGTCTGTCTGATTTTGGGCGATTAGAATGTCCTTGGTCTCACTATGGCTCCTTATCTGTCTCTCCCATCAGCATATGTGGATAGAAAAGAATGTTCTGTAGGGAAGAAATCACCTTACTTCCTAAAGCTAAGCCAGCCAACTTGGAAATCTAAAGAAAAAGGGATATGTTTCTGCAGGCTTTTGCAAGGAGAATATTTTGGGGAAATGAACTCATTTGCCCCTCAGGAAACAAACAAACAAACAAACAAAAAACCCCAAAAAACAAAAAACAAACAAACAAAAAAAACTGTGTAAGAGCAACCTTATCCATGGCTGCTATCTTTACATCCCAAGGTTTCCTCGGTCATTCCTGGAAACAACATGCCTATAGATACACTTAATTCAAGGCTATGTTTTTTTTTTTTGTTTGTTTGTTTTTTTGCTGATTTCCTCCTTAAGCCAAGGAAGACTTCCTCTCTGCTCCCAGGACTTAGCCCTCAGTATTACCCTGAGCCCTGTGTTATCTGTCCTCGTGAAGGCCACAGTAATCTTGTTGAAGGAAAACCACTGGTTGCCCCACTTTGATCTCTTAGATTACTCCCTATAGCTCTTCTCACCATACTGTTTACCCTAATCCCTTTCCTACCTGTTGTAGACCATTTCACAAGTCTCTCAAGGCCCATGCCCCATATGCTGCTATGAGAACTACACCTTCCTTCAACATGATGACAGGCAATTTCCTGCTAGACTTCTCTGTCTCTCTTCCAAGGCTTCCCTTCCTTTGTCATTTTCTCTGCTGCTTTCTGGAATGACTTTTTCTAGGGGGTGACTCACCCTTAATCTTTCCTGTACCTTTTAGTTGCTTCCATTTCAGAACCAGAAAGGAGTCCCAAGGACCAGACCCTTATCAAATGAATACCTCCTGGGGAGAAATCAAAAGTCCAGCTGCTGTTTCAAAGACTTGCTCAGGCCAAACTACATATTACTTTATTCTCATACCCACTTTAGTGTGCTTCTTCTTGAAGGCAGAACCAAAGGAAGGGTAGGTCATAGCTCTTTAGAAGGACTCCAAGGATCCTGGAGACTCTCAGTCAGGCTGAAGACATTCAACCAAGGAAATGGTCCTGGGAACCAAAAAAGACATGGCAAGCTGGGGATGCCCAGGTCACTGTCCCGGAGCTTCATCCCCCTCCAAGGGGATGCCTCAGGTGGAATATTAATTCTAGTTGCTCAATATAGGTATTCACTCCAAGGATCTCAAGATACACTAAGGCTGAGGATGGTCGGCATCTGGTGTTATTGGCAGGGATATCGTCTAGGGATGATGCCTAGCTGGTTCCCTTGGAGTATCCACTGGCAAGGGAGATGCCCCAGGCAGGACTCTGGTCCTAGGTTGCCTATCCCTTCCTCTTCTGTCATTTCCCCTTCTTTTTCTTGTAGGAGGCATGGGAAATAATCACTTAGTTTCCCTTGGCCATAATGGGACTACCAAGAGGACATACACCTCCTTCCTACCATTCCTCCCCTTGTGCCCCAAGTATGAGTGTGTCTACCCCAAAGAAGACAGAATGAATATATAATCAACCTTTCATTCCATCATGCACTCGAAGCAGGATCACCTTTCCCCTTATAGAAATAGTTGGACAAGAGGGCCCAATCAGAGTCCATCAAAGTTCTCCAAACCATTACTGATATTCATCAATGCAGAGAAAAGTTGGACAAGCAACCAAAGACCCCAGTAAATTTACTGACAGGTTCCAGACTTTGACCCTGGCTTTCAGTCTCTCTTGGAGGGATGCACAATTCATTCCGGTTGTCTATGGTACCCCGATTGAGAAGGAAGAAATATTAGACACAGCACACAAAGAAGCAAATGCTACATTTGCTAGAATCTTACAAAGAAAATTTTCAGGACATGAGACTGTCTCTTCAACTGACCCTGAATGGGAGTATAACATTTTTATGGGAATGAATCTGAGAGCTAAGTTCTTAGAGACTCTCTTGGTAGGAATGAGATATGGGATACAAAAATCTATAAATTATAACAAATTGAGAACAATTTACGAGGGCCGATAGGTGACATGGTGGTTAAAGTGCTGGACTCCTACATGGCTGACCATGGTTTGAGTCCTAGACCTGGTGGCTAGAAAAGCACATCTGGCATGTGTGCCCAGAATCCCAAGAGGAGAATAGGGTGAAGGGATTGTGGCATGGGCATCCCCCCTGGGGAGTCATTTATCACTTTCCCTCTCTCTTTCTCTCTTTGGCAAGCACACATACCCTACAGCGAAAACAAAACAGGACAAAACCCAAAACCTTTGGATTTATCTCATCCCTAACCTGCTTTCGTATGAAGAACTATCATGTTCTTCTCCTCCCATTCTGACTTACCAAGCCAAATTTTCTTCTTGGGAATGTCTAATGTCTCAGCTTGGGTTCAGCTCACCTCTCTGCCTCTTTCCTTGCTAGTTCGTCCTACTGCATTGCCATTCATCCCTCTCAGAGATGGTACTTGTGCAGTGCCCAGCCCTGGTGTCCGTTTTGCTTTCCCTTCTCCTATTCACAGCATGGGCCCTGGGTCCTCTGACTGCATCTGGGCTGCACAGCTCAGTGTACTGGATCTCAGGCCTCTGCCCACCATATTGTGTTGTCTGCCCTTGCCCCTGGAAATTCTTTGGGGTACACCTGACTCTAGCAAGATGTTGACATCTTGTGGGTGTTCCATGGCCATCGAGTCTGAATCAAGGCGCACTGTCCAGCATGAGTTTGCTTTTCGCTGACAAGCTTGAAGCTGGCAGGATAAGCACGAGTCACCCTTCCTCCATCGAAAACAGGAAAACAGCTCGTGGAGGTTTCCTTTCTTTCCCTCTCGAGCAGGATACACGTTTTCAGTGTGGAGTTTGGAGCCGTGGGGTTTTACCTTATCAGCGATAATCCATTTCCAGCATCTCTCAATGTTAACTGAGTCTCCCTCCAGGAATATCTAGCAGAAGGAGTCAGCTTCCTTCTGGATAATCCTTGTCCTCTGCAGAGAGATGCATGGAGTGGATGCCCCAAAGCCCTCTGAATGCCCCAAAGCCCTCTGGTCTCACTTCTCCCCCCTTGGTGTAGATCCCTGCCTTCCGCTGCATGTGCAGCTCACCCTCCCAGGTTGAGAAAAGACTGCTTCTAGTGTTCCTGCTTGGTGGGAGTGGAGGGAGAAATGGAAGTGAGTAGAATGGACCATTCCATTTTCATGGCCCCCCTTTCAAGTACATTTTGTCATCCCCGATTGAATAGATGAGAAAACTGAGAGCTAGAAAATTTTATTATTTTGCCCAAAGTCACAAAGACAGAGGTAGATTAAACCTTGAGCCTGGGCCCCAGTTCCCTGCTACTCAAGATACTACCTAGATGAGAAAATCAGCAACTCTCTGTTATTCAGGACTCCTCAGGGTCAGGCTCTGTGTGGAATAATGCTTTATCCACATTAAGTTCTTCACGTTATTTTTTTATTTTAAAATTATTCATTTTACATTCATTCACTGAACATTATCACAACATACAAAATATGATTTCCCACCCAGAATACACTGGATATTGGCTTAATCATACATGTTATTGTCAAATAATTTTCCATGTCTTGTTAAGTGAACTCTCATAAAGTCCTATCAGGCAGGTTTATTTGCCACAGTGACAATAACTCTGGCACAAGATTGTAGCAGCTTGTGCCAGATGATAGGTCTTCTAAACTTGTCAATTTAATATCTGCCTCAAACCCTTAGCTCTGCCTGTGCCTCATCCTCCTCTTCCCGGTGGCTCTACAACCACGGAAAGGTCAGAGTTGTGTTCAGCACTCTGTGTAGTAAATATCTGTCCTCTTAGGAATAATTTAGGATAGCCTGTAGCCAGTCACCATGCCCTGCCAGGGGAACTCAGTGGACACTGAGTCTCACATTCCAAAAATCTCTGACCCTAAGCCTCTTGACTCTGGTCTGATGGACAATACACAGTACCTCTGTAATTGTTCTTGAAGTTCATGTTGAATGAAATCTCCTCCATTCCTCCACAAGCGAAAGAACATGTTAGTTTTCCAAAAGATGCTGACAGTTGAATAGAATTTTTCTTTATGTGGGCTGTGCCTCAAATGTCCTAATACTTGAGAGAACATTGACATGATTCCCCTGGATTGCACCTGTCCTTCCTCACTGGCCACCCAGAAACCTTTCTCACCTCCCCCCAGCCTACTCACCACATGAGAGCCAGAATGAAAAATATGAAACTGAATAGGCTATGAGATAGTGTATCATAACAGAGTTAAAAATGGGGATAATTGAATACATATTTCAAAAACTAGTAGAACTGTTAACAAATGTGCACAACATAATGTAATGTTCAATGTTAAACAAGATGAATACACTTATCTCCTCGATTTGATGATTGTACACTGTGCATGCCTTATAAAACCATACCGCAGCCCATAAGGATATATATTGATTATATATAAACCAGAAATCATA